CCTCCTTCATTCCCTTTCCTTGCTGCAGAAACATCAGTGTCTCTTTGAGAAATGGTACAAATGACTGTCATACTTGGATATAATATATATACATAGATATAGATATAAATATGAAAGACTAAAGGTGTTATTGCGCACTCTACCTTTTCTCATTAAGTCACACCCATCTCCTCTTGTAATTATGTAGATTCTTAGATAAGAGCCAGGTCTCAAGACAGTTCTCCCAACACAAATGAAGCAAGAATCTGGCCTCATGCAATCCACTGTGGAATCTCTCCACTCTCTCATCAGATTGTTTTTCTAAAAAAAAACTCTATCATAAAAAAAAGAAATAACTAACTTTTGACTGGAAAAAAAAAAAGAACACTGAACATTCCATAGATGGCCAAAAGACCAAACAAATAAGTCTTGGAGAAGGTGTGGCCTGAATGCTCTTTGGATGCAAAAATGATGAGGCTTTGCCTCACATACTTTGGATATGTTGCTAGGAGAGACTATTCCTTGAGAGGGACATGATGCTGAAAAGGGTGGAAGATTGGTGAAGGAGAGGAAGACCTTCAACCAGGTGGATTGACAGTGACTGCTGCAATGGGCTCTAGTGTGTCAGGAAGTGTGAGGATGGTGCAGGACAGAATAGGGTTCAGATCCTTTGTTCATAGGGTCACTATGAGTTGTACTTGGCCTGATAGCACCTACCAACAACAACCCCCAGTAGATCTCTCTATAAGTTTAAGTTGCAATGGCAGTGACTTTAAGTTTTAATTTTAAGACATGTTCTAGGGGCAACAATTCTTTATATTTCCTTTCCTGGCTGAAAGTAAAGAATACCAGAATAATGTCTATTTATGCTTTATTGATAATGCAAAAGCATTTGACTATATGGATCATAACAAGCTATGGTTAACATTGAGAAGAATGGGAATCCCAGAGTATAACACAAGTTATTGATGAGTCTTCCTCTGATCTTAGAATCCAGCTGTCCATAGGATTGCAATGAGTCGTACTCAACTCAGTGGCATCTAACAACAACAGAGGCAACAAAGAGATCATTGTGGCTAGAATGGAAAAATTTCAGTACCTTGGTTCATGTTGTGTCCCTTTGTTCTTTTTTGCCTGCACACAAAACATATTCTAAGCATTACCTCCTCCTAACCACCCAGTACTCACAAAATGTCATGTACCTATGTCTGGCATTGCTCATACTGTTTAATCTGATTAATCTTCCTCCATCACTAGACTAGGAGCTGAAGATAGGGTCTGATTGGGTGGTATCCGCAGAGTCCATATGGAGTTGTGCTGATACCTCAAAGGCCATGCCTCTCTGGTGGTTTGAATCTACCCCTGGCTCTGCAGAAGATAAGCAATTTCCTCCTGTAAAATTTCTACCTTCAGAATCCCAAAGTAGGATCAGCTATGAGTTGGTTCTAAATCAATGGCAATGAGTTTTGGTTTTTTAAGAGCCCAATATATGTGGATACAAGCTCAGAGAGATGAAATGATTAACTAAGGTCACAATATCTCAGAAGTGGAAGAGCTGGCATTAGTACCCAAGGCCAATAGGGAGGATTTTTCAGATTATCACTTGTTGTTGCTGCCCTTTGGTTATCTCTAATCTCAAAGAGTACCTCTTTTTTTAGACATTACCCCCACCTCATAAGTATACACACATAAGCTTATTGAACAAAACAGCTGAATAGAACAAAAATGGAACAGACCAGTAAGAGTTCCCAGTGTATAGATACATTCAATATAAGTGTATAGATACACTCAATGACCATCTGCGTTTTGGCATGGATATGCAGGCCACCCACCTGGACAAACTGGAGTAGTCCAAATGGCCATGATGTTTGCTGTAACCAACATAAAAAAATCCAGGTATGACCTGCCCATTCAATACACTTTGCTTCTCCTTAACCCCCTAAACAAAATCCTGAGAGCCTTAGTCACATCTTCTTTCCTTCTACCTAAGGGCTCCTTCCTTCACCTTCACCTGATTTCCCAGTCTGTGGGCTTTCTGGGGCAGAAAAATTCCATGCCTGTTCACCCTTCCCCCACCTCAAGAGTCATTAAGGGGCTATAGTATTTGCTTCTTCTCTCCTGGAGATGGAAGAAGATGGGGCCATATAACTCCTCTATTCCCACAACTGAGAATTCCCCAAGGTTGGGCATTCAAATGCTCAGATTTAGCAGACCCTACCAGGTAGCTCTGATTCAAAATGTTCCATGCCAGTCCATCTCATTTTGCCAATAACTAGTACGTCAGTATATATGCTTTCCATTTCCTTCTTAACAATATCCAGTTCTACATTCAAGGTTCTTACATTCCATGTTCCAAACACTAGTGTTTGCTTACAGCTGTTCCCTCCTATTTGTTTCCATATTTGAGGTCTCAGCATCAATTGCCATATCTGCTAGTCTCAGTTTGCCTGCTATTTCGGAAGTGTATAGCGAATCCTTCTTCCTACTCTGTCTTAATTTGATTGCTCAGATTTAGAATATCTGACAGACAAGCATTACACAGAGAAGAGCAGATTATAAAGATATTTCCCAGTAGTAGGGAAAACCCAATAAATTCCATGTTTCATTGACTATTAAAAGGCATTTGACTGTGTGGCTGACTCTGAGAATAGGAATTCCAGAACACTTGATTGTGCTTATCCGAAACCTATACTTGGACCAGGAGGCAGTCATCAGAACAGAGTAAGGAAACACTGCATGGTTCAATATTGGGAAGGGTGTGCATCAAGGATGTGTCTATCCCCATATCTTTTCATTATATATGTGGAACAGATTATCCAGGAGGCTGGGCTCTATGAGGAGAAGTGTGGCATCACAATTGGAGGTATATTCATCAACAATCTGCATTATGCAGATGACACAACCCTGCTTGCTCAAACTGAGGAGGAGCTGAAGTGCTTGCTGCAGAAGGTCAAGGACTGCAGCCTTCATTATGGATTGAAGCTCAACATCAAGAAAACAAAGATTCTCACCACTGATCCAATTGGTACCATCATGATAGATGATAAAGAGATTGAGATTGTTGACAGTGTCTGTTTGCTTGGCTCTACAATAAACACTCGGTACCAGCAGCCAGGAAATTAAGGGCAAATTGCATTGGGAAAGTCTGTCAGAGACCTCTCTAAAGTACTGAAGAGCAACGATGTCAGTCTGGAGACTAAGATGTGCCTGATACAGGCCATGATCTTTGCAATTACTTGCAAAGACAGCTGGACAATGACTACGGATGATAGCAGGAGAGTTGATGCCTTTGAGCTGTGGTGCTGCAGAAGAATACTGAATATACTATGGACTGCTAGGAGAACAAACAAGTTCATCCTGGAGAGGGTGAAGCCAGACTGATCCTTGGAGCCAAGGATTCTGAAGCTCCATCTGACATATTTTGGACATGCTGTAAGGCGGGATTAGTCCTTGTAGAGGGACGTCATGCTTGGGAGGGTGGAGGGACATTGCAGGAGAGGAAGACCCTCAATGAGGATTGATTCAGTCACTGGGATAAAGGGGATAGATTGGCAAGGGATAGAGTAGGGTTTAGGGCTGTTGTACATAGGGTCGCTATGAGTTGCAAATGAGTCAACGGCACATAACAACAACCAGGTAGCTGAGCTGACTGAATGGCAGTACTGTATCAACATGAACAGGAAGCGAATTTGGTGGATATCCAGAGCCACAAGTAACCTGCTGACGAGAACCCCCAGGTCGCCCAAAATCCTCTGGCTCCCAACTTGGTCCTGCTCTATTGTTGGAAGGGCATGACTCAAGAGCAGTCATCAGCCATCAGGAAAGTACAAGAGATACAGCACTATGAAAAGGAAGCACAATGCCAGGCCAAACAAGCACTGGATGCTGAATGGGAAAAACAGACCATACTCTCAGCCCAGGCAGCCCTAGAGCTGGAGCAGCAGGAGAAGGAATTATGTGCTGAATTTCAGAGGGGGCTAGGCTCCTTCAATCAGCAGCTGCCTAAGGAGCAAAAAGCCCAGTAAGTTCTAGGGGGAGGGATGTCAAGGGCTAGGGAAGGAATGTCAAGGACCTGGGAGGGAGGGAAAGTACACTGACTCTGGATTTCCTTCACAGGCAGAATTATCTGAATTCCATAATCTACACCAATCAACCTACAGTCCAGTATCACCTACAGTTTAACACCAGCAGCTGTTGAGCTAAGAATGGTTTCACCCTTCTCCACCAAGCTCAGAGAGCTGAGTCAAAGAGGAAAATACTGCATACTCTAACCCCAATCCATTTCCTAGTGGGAGGGAACTGAGCCACTACATTCTACCCTAGGTAATAAAGTTATTCATGGAAATCAAAGGTATGTGTTGTAATAAGACACAGTGTGAGGCACTGCTTATTCCACCCAATCCCAGGACTCTGAGCAACCAATCTGTCAAGAGCCTTTACCCATTGACATTCCCCATGCCCATGCCCGTCCCCCAGCATAAAAAACTGCCTAATCCCTGTGGAAAATAAACTTTATTAGGCACAGAGGGTGATTAATGGGCAGAGTAACAAAATGGCTCATGAAATTCCTCTCAAATTGGAGTCTAGTACCCCAAAGGAATGGGGATCAAAGAAAGATGCAGTCTGTCAGTCTTCTCCTTTCAGGGCTGCATGCGGATAGCACCATCAAGCCGGATGACCTCCCCATTGAGGAATGGGTTCTCGATTATGGTCTGTACCAGATGAGCATACTCAGCAGGGTCCCCCAGTCGGCTGGGGAAGGGTACCTGGCTTGCCAAGAAGTTTCTCACCTTGTCTGGGAGGCTGGCCAGTAGTGGGGTACAGAATAGGCCTAGACAAGACAGCTAAGAGTTAGAGACCTGCACTTGCTCTCATATTTACCCAGTCCTTTTCACCCTAGCCCTACTACTTTATGCATCCCTAGGACCTAGAGATGGGGGGGGGGGGTAGGGCTACTACTTTGGTAGTGCTTTCTCCTCCAATTGCCCATAGCTTGCCAAAAATCCCAGCTATGACAAGGAGGGGATAAATATACCTGGAGCAATGGTCATCACCCGGATACCTATGGGTGCCAGATCCCGAGCAATGGGCAGTGTCATGCCTACTATGCCTCCCTTAGAAGCAGAGTATGCAGCTTGGCCAACCTGGAGAAGAATAATTGGAGATCATAGATGGGAGGGCTTCCATAATCACTGAAGAGGTATAAGCCTTGCCCCTGTTTACATACCTGGCCCTCAAAGGCAGCCACACTGGCAGTGTTGATGATGACTCCCCGTTGGCCTTCCTGGTCTGGTTCATTCTTGCCCATCTCTCCAGCCACCAAGCGGATCACATTGAAAGTACCTATAAGATTCACCTGGAAGATGAGTAGAGACATGATAGAGGACTTGAGGGAGGGACTTCTGTCCCTGGAAAGCTTATCCATAGTCAGATTCTCAAGGAGAATTATTAAGGCCTTACACTGAGAACTCGCTGGAAGTCCTCCAAGGTATGAGTCTGCCTCCTCTTTAAACTGTATGTCTTCATGGCCACTGCAATGCCTGCACAGTTGACTGCAACATCCACACGGCCAAACTTTTCTTTTGCTAGAGTCAGGGCAGCTTGCACATCCTTCTCTGAGGTCACCTGAAGAAGTGGAGATGGAATTGCCTTTCCTAATCCACTACTAAACCTGGGTGGGAGGAAGGTAGGTCCAGGATTGTATAAGCAAGGAGAAAAGCAAGCCTAAATTATAATGGAATTTGAGAGAGGTGAATAAGGCTAAGGTTAAAATGTTAGACCCTCAAGCAACAAATGCCGGTGAGGTTGTGGAGAAACTGGAACCCTTATTCACTGTTGGTGGAAGTGTAAAACGGTGCAACCACTGTAGAAAGTGGTGTGGTGCTCTCTCAAAAAGTTGCAAATAGAGATACCATTTGACCCAGCAATTCCAATACTGGGAATATACCCTAAAGAGACCATAACCAACATCCAAGCAGATATATGCACACCCATGTTTATTGTGGCTTTGTTCACAATAGTAAGGAGTTGGAAACAATCTAAGTGCCCATCAACAAATGAATGGAATACTACGCTGCATTGAAAAACAAGGAACTCATGCAGTATTATTCAAAATGGGTGACCCTGGAGGACATTATGCTGAGTGAAATATCTCAGTCAAAAAAGGACAAATACTGCATGGTACCACTGTTGTAGAATGGGACTGATATCAGGGTTGGGGTATGACTGAGAAAAACTGGATAAATTATGTATACTACATTGAAACAGATGAGGGAGAGAATAATTTAAAATCTATATATGATAGGGTATTATGGTTATCACATAAGTCCAGAATTAAGGTTGAATAGTAGAGTGTACTTGGGGCGGTGGGAGGGGTGCGTGGGGATTATATACCACAGAAGGAATTTTTCTTTTGCTTTTCAAAGAGAGGAGTGAACGGGGGGGGGGGAGCGGGGCAGGGAGAAAAGTGCAACAATGAATGAATGGAAATCCAAAATCTCTGTAAATGTTCATTAAAGTGGATTGTGTACCAATGAAGGAGTTTTTCTTTTGCTTTTCAAGGAGAGGAGCGAACGGGGTGGGGGGGGAGGGAGGAGAAAAGTGCAACAATGAATGAATGGAATTCCAAAATCTCTGTAGATGTTCACTGAAATAAAAAAAATTAATAAAATTTTTTAAAAAGTTAGATCCTTAGGGCAGCATTACAAAAAATTTTTCAAATCATCTTACTATGTGCCATTGAGTCACCTGCGACTCATAGCAACCCTATATACAACAGCCCTAAATCCTGCAATATTATTGTCTCTGACACACCTACTGCCATTACCCCAGTCACTGAATCAATCCATCTCACCAAGGGTCTTCCTCTCCTGCACTGTCCCTCCACCCTCCCAAGCATGACGTTCCTCTCCAAGGACTGGTCCCTCCTTGCAACACGGCCAAGGTTTGTCAGATAAAGCTTCAGAATCCTTGCCTCCAAGGAGCAGCTTGGTTTAGCCCTCTCCAGGACAAACCTGTTTGTTCTCTTAGCAGTCCATGGTATATTCAATACTCCAACACCACAGCTCAAAGGCATCACTTCTCCTTCCATCATCTGTAGTCATTGTACAGCTCTCATACATCGAAAGTAATTACAAAGACCATGGCCTATATCAGGCGCACCTTAGTCTCCAGACTGACATCATTGCTCTTCAGTACTCTCGAGAAGTCTCTGACAACCTTTCCCAACACATCTTTTAATTTCCTGGCTTCTGGTACCAAGAGTGTTGATTGTAGAGCTAAGCAAACAGAAGCTGTCAATAATCTCAATCTTTTCATCATCTATCATGATGGTGCCAATTGGATCAGTGGTGAGAATCTTTGTTTTTTTCATGTTGAGCTTCAATCCATGTTGATGGCTGCAGTCCTTGACCTTCTGCAAATCCTTGATGCTTCAGGTCCTCCTCAGTTTCGGCAAGCCAGATTGTGTCATCTGCATAACGCAGATTGTTGATGAGTCTTCCTCCAATCCTGATGTTACATTTCTCCTCACAGAGCCAAGCCTCCCGAATAATCTGTTCTGCATATAGATTGAAAAGGTATAGAGATAGGACACATCCCTGGCATACACCATTCCCAATTTTGATCCATACAGTGTTCCCTTGCTCTGTTCTGACAACTGCCTCCTGGAACCACTATAGGTTTCACATAAGCACAATCAAGTGTTCTGGGATTCCCATTCTTCTCAGTTAGCCAAGTTTGTTGTGGTTCACATCTACGGATGATAAATCCACATGCCTGTGGAGATTCTCAATTGTTCTAGATCAGAACACTAATACATTCCTGTTTTGAGAATTGCTGCCATGAAAGTAAGCGAGCTTCTCTCTATACCAAGAAAATGTCATCAAGTTTTACATTCTGTGGTTTGCCTCATAAAAATAAATTCTCCCACTTTCTAAATGTAAAATTACACATTGTACCCTCTCCCCATGGCATTCTGCTGGATATCCCCATTATTATTCTTGTGAATACGTGCTTTAGAGATTTCTGTATCCTGCAGTGCTTGATGGGATCCCTGGTGGCTTAGAGGTAAGGAATTGCACTGCCAACCTGAAGGCACATAGTTGACTCCACCAGCGCTCCAGGATAAAGATGGGCAGTCTTCTCCTGTGCAATTTATTAAGTCTGAAAACCTAATGGAGGGTCCACTAGGAGTCGGTACTGAACAACAGTTCTGAAAGAGATCCCTGTCTGTATCTCACAGTGCTTGATTCAAGTCAAACTACTCATTGCTATCAAGTGCAAACCAACTTAGAGCTAACCCTCCAGGCTGTAAATACATGGGAAAAAACTGGCCATCTTTTTCCTTTCCATTAGCAGCGCAACTCCTTAGGACTACATACACCACCAGAGCTCACCCAGGCTAAAGGGACAAGGATATGTCTCCCTGCCTACATAGCTGGCACTCTAATGAGTGGGAACTTGTGTTTTCAAGCTTGTTCACACTGTAGGAAAGGAACTGGCCCTACTTACATCCACAGGGCAGAAGGCGCAGCTTTTTCCTAATTTTTTGGCCTGGGTCTCCCCATCCGAGTTAGGCAGGTCCAAAAGCACAGCAGACGCCCCTTTCCCCACTAGTCGCTCTGCCGTGGCTAGGCCTAGACCCGAGGCTCCTCCAGTTATAACCGCAACCAAGCCCTGTTAAGAGAGGAATGAACGGTCAGCTTTTCGCCAGGTTTCTAAGTACACAGGAGTGGAAACCAGGTGGCTTCTGGTCACCCTTGTGGTAAGACTCAAATGTGCCACCTCCTCTCATCAGATAGGACTTCCAGCTGACTCATCCCTAGGCAGCCACTCCTTGACTGCTGACCTTCACCTCCCGAACACAGCCGCTGCCAAAATTAGTTCCAGACAAGCATGACCTCTTCTCCCAGCACATGATCTTTTCCACCTCTTTCCATAGCCCGCGTTGTCTTAGCCAAGGAAGCCAAGACAAAGATCCCTTTTACCTTGACACTCCGACACGGGGCAGCCATTTTGCGCTGTGCCTCTTTACACGCTGGTCTCTGCTGCTGCTCGCTGATTGGTCAAGGTGGAGTCGTGGGGCGGGTACAAAAGGCTAGCCCCGTGGGCGGTTGGGGATGTTACTAATATTCCTGCTCTCTATGGGGAGGTGTTTCATCCGGAAAGAACCTAATAATAGTAGTGCAATACTACCCACCGAATATTTTGGCAGGCTTCCAATTCCTTCGTGAGGGACATAAGACTAAATCTTTTTCTAGTTCTTTCTAAATTGAGAGCCCAAACTGACAACCAACCAGAAATTAACATACATGACCACATCATTCAGAAACTCACCCAGATACAGAAATGCATAAAGTATAATAAACACAGTACAATAAAAATAAGAAATCTGAACTATTATTCCATAACTGAAGACATATCTGGTGGCCTAGTGGTAAAAAGTAGCACAGACACACAGCCACTCTCCATGAGAAAGATGAGCAATCTCCCCTCCATGTTATTTCCTACTCTGGTGGCCTAGTGGCAAGTAGCTGCACTGCAATCCGGGAGGCATATGATTCAAATCTACTCCATCAGAAGGTGGCAGTTACACCAGCCAAGATGGCAGTTACACCTGCCAAAGCTATAGCAGCACCTGGCAAGAAGGGTGCCACGCCGGGCAAAGCAGTGGTGGCCACCCCCGGTAAAAAGGGTGCTGTGCCCACCAAGGGGGCAAAGAATGGCAAGAATGCCAAGAAGGATGAGAGTGAGGAGGAAGATGA